GTGGAAGATAAAAGGGCTTTTTTTTTTTTTGGTCACATTTGCTGGGGTCTACAAAACTGGAGGAAATGTGGGTTTCAGTCCTGATACAGTATGTTTTGGAACATTTGGTAACATTTGGAACACTCTAAAACATTAATAATTAAGCAACATCACAATTGTGCTGTTACATATATCAGTACGACTGTGATTCAGCCCTGCTGATATTCTAATATTTTTTTATTTAATATTTTTGTTCTAATATTAAATATTTTATTTCATTTAATTTTTTCTATTTTATTTATTATTAAAATTATTGTCATTATTGACTGTACATTACTTACAGCATTCTCTAAAATAGTCTTTCACAATATCAATTTGAGACCATGTCAGACTGAGAGAACAATTTCTTGTTTTTCCCCTGAATACTGTTTGTTATGTGGTACCTTATCACACAACATTATTTTTCCTGGAATGAATTTTGTACTAATATGTTTTAATAAATGAAAAGATTAATGTCCTCAAATAACAAGTCATTTGTCTTGGGGGGAGGGATGGGGGGCTCTAGCACTATCAAAGGTCTATACAACAGAAACATGAACAGATGGAAAGTGTTTTTTTTTTCACAGTCTTGTGAAGTTTTTTCACTTGTGAAACTTCCCTACACGATACCACCATAACCTTATTCAATGTGCCTATTCATCCAAAGCTAGAGTAATGAGCGCAAGCTGCTAATTGGAAAGAAAATGTTTTGGTAAACAGTAATGTGTCTTGGTTGCAACAATGTCCCAATGATGTTTACTTTGCCTGAATTCATTGCACTGTAATAGTGCCTTGAATAAACTCCAGATACTTTGAGTTCCCATCTCTTCAATCAAAACATTTCTAATTCGGCACAGCAAAATGTCACCTTCAGCGAGAGCCTTGCGCCCACCCTCATGACAGGCAGCAGTGTGGAGAGCTTTTATTTGAAAATAAACACATTTGTCAGCTAGTGGTTAGGCTTTAGTTCTTCTTTTGCTTTTTTAATTTGCTTTCTGTTGTCGACAATGACAAAAAAGTCTGTTAAAAGTTTTCAAATAGCTTCCATTCTTCTGAAAAAATAAAAGTAGGTCTAGCTTCCATAGCAGAAGAGATGTATATATTAACTGTATACTGAACAGACATTCAAGACCACTAGTGAAAATAATTCAGTTTTATATAATTACAAATTTTATTAGCAGCATTAAAATTGGAGTGAAAAGCTAAAGTCAAATATTAATATTAACATGAATCTTAATTGATTTAGTATGCCCCCTTTTGCTCTAAAGACAGCAGCACTCAAACTGCATGAACTCCAAGAGTTTATGTAAAACCTGATGATCATGTTCTACAGCATGATTGGAGAATGATCTAAAGAACATCTTGTGCTTTAGTGGAAGCAAGAAAAACGGACTTGTGTGTCAGAAATGTAACTGAAATGTAACCTAGAAATAGAAATTGTATATGTATGGGCACATTGCAGTATAGGGCTTTTTACCCAGTGCTTAACCCTGGCTTATCGTCATTCTAAACCTCGCTTTTAACCCTGGGTAAAATTATGTTTCACTCTAGTAATTTAGTAGCGGGGTTAGTATCGCTTTGTTAGAATACTCTGTTAGAATGGTACAATTAGATGCTTAGCAACAGACTCCCATTTGCATGGCTCATATTCACATGCTTTGGACAGTCGTGGAAACACTGTGTGCTGTATAAAAATTAGTTTTACAGTTTCAGGGGAAAAGGTAAAATGGTGACCGAAAAAGTGTGAATTGGGCAGAAAAAGAGAATGTTTCATTATTACCTTTATAGTCCACCAAAATGTCCATTCAGGAAAGAATTGATAGGACAGTCTGCAATATAAATCATGTGGATGCGCAGTCCTAGAGCCGTTATGTGAACAGGTCACAGACTGCATTCGTCCAATGAGTGACACTGACACCTGCAAATATGCAAATAAGAGTGTTTAGAAATGTTCAGTGTGAAACGTCAGTTTATGAATACCCAGGATTAATTGTTAACTAGGGGTGGGCGCTATACCGGTATGAAAGTGACTACCGGTATTATGTTGTTCCATGAAATGGATTTTGCTATACCGTGGATACCGGTTTTGCAATTTTGCATTTATATTTGTTCAATTTGGTACGCTTTGCACACATTTTAACACAAATGACGATTAAGAGTCGAAACTGAACGTTTTAGTCCTGTGTGCAATAATATAAATGAACGATGCGGTTCTGCTCTAAGCATGAAAGTTACAAGTTTGTGAAAATACTGCCAGTGCCAGGTAAACAAAATGCAGATTCTGAATATACTTAATATTCACAAATGCCAAAACAACGTGTCTACACCAGACATGAGCGGCGCGACGTGACAAAAGCAAATAGAACCCAGTGATGTTCTCTGCTGTGGATGCGGTGCGACACGACAAATCCATGACAATAACCTGATGTCCCGATCTATTTCAAACTCCAGCGCTCTGACACAAAGGACAAATTCAAATATTTATAAAAGAAATGTGAAAAAATGGTTTCCTCAAAAATATTGGGCAGCACCACATTTTTCAGCATTAAAATAATCAGAAATGATTACTGAGCAGCAAATCAGCATATTAGGATGATTTCTGAAGGATCATGTGACACCGAAGACTGGAGTAATGATGCTGAAAATTCAGCTTTGATCACAGGAATACAGTAGCCTGTATGTTAAAACATTAAAATAGATATTTTAAATGGACAATATTTCACAATATTACAGTGTTTACTGTATTTTAATAAATAACTTAAGCCTTGGTGAGCATAAGAGACTTTCCAAAAAAAGTAAAAAGGTAGATGTGGGGGGTTTGAAAATATTTTTCTCTACAAAAGGGTGGTCCGGCTGAAAAGGTTTGGGATCCACTGGCCTTCTACGTAGATGGATTGGATGCATTTCATGCAAATTAATAACCTCAGGCACACAGTCGCTCAATTAGGATACTGGGGGCCAATATGGACCCCCAGTATCCAATATGATGGCCAATATGACCCCAAAATGGGTAGTTATTGTAAAAAATATATACATTTTTAATCATACAAATAATATATATAATTTTTTTGTTTACTTCTCATCTATACATTAAAGCTGTGTTTTGGGAGATATTAAATACTTCTGTACCTATTTTTGTACAAAATTCCTCAACTACACCATTAGCTTTCATGTGATATATCACATTTTTATGAAAAAATCACTTAAATGATCTAGATTTGATTTAAGTTGTTTCTGGATATTGATCTAGGTGTTGGGTGTAGAATTCTGCCATCTGCCGGTTAGAGAAAAACTTGTAGAAATTAGAGTTTTTGAAAGAATTGTGTAATGACCATAAATATCCAGCAGAGGTCCATAGAGATCCATTCATTTTTCTGGAAGTGGCCAACTGCTCCTCTCACAACTGTTCTGATATACATTTTGTAAATGTATATATTGAAACATTATAAAATACATAAAAACAGTATGTGTATACACACACACACACACCAACCATTTATACCTGCTTATTGCAGTTGTTTTTTTTTGTTTTGTTTTTTGGTGTTGGTTTTATTTACATTTAAGTAAAATAAAATTGTTTTGATTTTACGTTTTAGATTGAAAAAAATGTGTGCATGCAAAAACATTTATGTGGCATTATTGCAAAAGCGGGCACTTCAAAATACCTCAAAACAACAAAAACAAAGTCTAACCTTTTAGAAAAATACTGTTTTTATGTATTTTATAATGTTTCAATATATACATTTACAAAATATATATCAGAACAGTTGTGAGACGAGCAGTTGGCCACTTCCAGAAAAATGAATGGATCTCTATGGACCTCTGCTGGATATTTATGGTCATTACACAATTCTTTCAAAAACTCTAATTTCTACAAGTTTTTCTCTAACCGGCAGATGGCAGAATTCTACACCCATCACCTAGATCAATATCCAGAAACAACTTAAATCAAATCTAGATCATTTAAGTGATTTTTTCATAAAAATGTGATATATCACATGAAAGCTAATGGTGTAGTTGAGGAATTTTGTACAAAAATAGGTACAGAAGTATTTAATATCTCCCAAAACACAGCTTTAATGTATAGATGAGAAGTAAACAAAAAAATTATATATATTATTTGTATGATTAAAAATGTATATATTTTTTACAATAACTACCCATTTTGGGGTCATATTGGCCATCATATTGGATACTGGGGGTCCATATTGGCCCCCAGTATCCTAATTGAGCGACTGTGTGCCTGAGGTTATTAATTTGCATGAAATGCATCCAATCCATCTACGTAGAAGGCCAGTGGATCCCAAACCTTTTCAGCCGGACCACCCTTTTGTAGAGAAAAATATTTTCAAACCCCCCACATCTACCTTTTTACTTTTTTTGGAAAGTCTCTTATGCTCACCAAGGCTTAAGTTATTTATTAAAATACAGTAAACACTGTAATATTGTGAAATATTGTCCATTTAAAATATCTATTTTAATGTTTTAACATACAGGCTACTGTATTCCTGTGATCAAAGCTGAATTTTCAGCATCATTACTCCAGTCTTCGGTGTCACATGATCCTTCAGAAATCATCCTAATATGCTGATTTGCTGCTCAGTAATCATTTCTGATTATTTTAATGCTGAAAAATGTGGTGCTGCCCAATATTTTTGAGGAAACCATTTTTTCACATTTCTTTTATAAATATTTGAATTTGTCCTTTGTGTCAGAGCGCTGGAGTTTGAAATAGATCGGGACATCAGGTTATTGTCATGGATTTGTCGTGTCGCACCGCATCCACAGCAGAGAACATCACTGGGTTCTATTTGCTTTTGTCACGTCGCGCCGCTCGCGTCTGGTGTAGACATGTTGTTTGGGTATTTGTGAATCTTAAGTATATTCATAATCTGCTTTACATTTACCTGGCACTGGAAGTCCTTTCACAAACGTGTAACTTGCATGCATACAGCAGAACCATAAATCGTTCATTTATATTTCTACATGGCTCCCTGCAATACAACTCTGATTCTTCAAATCGCGCCATCTAGTGGTCTGTTATTGATACAACCACAACTGCTACAACCGATAACGGGGCTCTCAAGCGGGTACCGCGAGTCCTGCTGAGGTAGATAAAATGTCAAATTAATATTTTGCATTCAATTATTTACTTATCAGGCAAGTGGCCGCATGATAAGCGGAAAAATTACACAGTGTAAGTCGCTTTGGATAAAAGCGTCTACTAAATAAATAAAATAAATAAAGTCTTTATCACCCTGCAGAGGTTTCTTTTGCAAAATAATCTGCTGACTGTACACTATCCCTCAGCCTTGCCACGCCCCCCAGTTTGGGAACCACTGGTATAAAGGATTCATGCAACCTTTCCTTTACAGCCTTTTGTCAATCTTAGCAAACATTAGAAATTATGAAATATCCATGTATAAATTTAACATGTTTATAAATCCACCCAGATTATGTGATTTAAGTGTGGTTAATGTGTGGTTTCAGCTGTTCCTACTTTTTTTTTTTTTTTGTAAAATCAGACTAAAATTTTGTATGTTATTGGAATGTTACTGGCAAATCATGATTTGGTCGTGAAAACATTTGAAGACAGACTTCACGCACAAATCTGGCCTATATATGGTTAGTAAATGTGCAATACAAATGAATTGATTGATACCAACTACCTTTGCGACTAGGGTATTATATCAGATTTCTACATATATTAGCACTTTTATGAATTTAGAGCATATGCATGGCCACTTTAATTCCCAAAAGATTTGACCTTTTTTTTGGGGATGTGTTGTGATTTTTGAAATTATATCCCCGAATCAAAAATTTATTCTATTCATGGGGGGGCTAAAAATGTCCAGCCCTAAATTGTAGGCCATCATTTTCTTTTAATTGTTAATAAATATCTGAACAGAAAGTTTCTGAGCTCTCTCAATACCTTTCTCTTTAGGAGCCTTGGATGGTGTGGAAATCTCAGGAGTTGTAGGTAGGGCTGAGAATCAACATTTGCATTGGGTTAGGGAACTATAGAAATGTGAGTACAAGAAGTCCAGATAACCCCAGAAATAGTCACACTCTCAAAGGGGTCATGAACTACCTTTTTTATTACTTTGTATGCTATTTTCTGTCCTGTTTTGAGCCCCTCATCGGAACGCTCTGTTTGAATAGATGTGGCGGATTGTAGACTCGGAAGTAAACGCCGACTGCTATGATTGGCTAACAGTTGTGTATGTTTGACAGCCTACATCCTTCATAGATGGACGCTGCTGTGATTTAGGTTAAAATCGCATAAATACTCAGTCAGTACATACCAAACGACCTGTAATAATAGATAAATCAATAGTGATCACGTAATAAAAACAGTTACTCACACACTCACACTTGTGTGGTGTGACATTACTGTCGAATCCAATATAGTCGCACAGCATCTCTTTTAATTTCAGCCTTTCAGAAAACCCGGCGTTGAATTGTGCCTTGTTTGTAAACGAATCCGCAGAGAATTCTATTTTACTAAATACTATTTATATACTACTGAATACTATTTGTGACACTGGATCACAAAACCAGTCTTAAGTAGCACGGGTATATTTCTAGCAATAGCCAAAAATACATTGTATGGGTCAGAATTATTGATTTTTTTTATAGTAATACAGTTTTATAGTATACAAAATTATTGAACTTTTATGCCAAAAATCATTAGGATATTAAGTAAAGATCATGTTTAATGAAGATATTTTGTAAATTTCCTACTGTAAAATATATCAAAACATAAATTTTTATTAGTAATATACATTGCTAAGAACTTCATTTGGACAACTTTAAAGGCGATTTTCTTGGTATTTTGATTTTTTTGCAACCTCAGATTCCAGATTTTCAAATAGTTGTATCTCGGCCAAATATATAAATCTCAATTTTAAAAAAAGTACCCTTATGACAGGTTTTGTGGTCCAGGGTCACATTTGAGTTATTATACCATTATTACTTATTTCTATCTTCTGCACTACTAATGTGATGGTTAGCTAGACTCACTATAGCTCACTAAGACTTCCTCAACAAACACCACAAGTAAGTATATAACAACTTTCATTCTGGGTGAACAGTTCCTTTACAAATTGCAGTCATACATTAATAAAATAAATCATTTCAATCTTACCAATGCATTGCGGTGGTTCAGGGCTCCATCCATTTGCTTTACACACAATATAAGCATCTCCTTTCAGTGTATATCCATCTTCACATTTGTATTCTATAAAGTTGCCCAGTTTGTAGGGGGGTGATTTTCCACCAATTCTTTTTGCATTAGGAATTGTAGGCGTTAGACACCCATCTGGGAAAAAAAGGAAAGAAAAAATGTTTATGTAAAAGAAAAGTATTGATCATTAAATATTTTATTCATTAACGGGAAGAAACTTTTTTTTTCTTCATCTCATGACTGGCATTTTAACCATAGCTTACCAACACATTTCGGAGGATCTGGTTTAAAGGTTCCATCCTCAGAACAATGAAGTGTTGATTGTCCTATAAGATTAAGTCCTGTGTTACATCTATAGGAGACTGCATCTAAATAATCGTAACTATCCAAAGGCTCATCTTGAAGTTGCCCATTTTCTAAGGCTGGAGGTGCTGAACATTTCACCGCTAAAGAGAAAAACACATCCAGATGAATAGGTATTTATTTCCAGGACAAAAAAATACAAATTGGGAATGGTTTTGTGCTCTTCAATATTATATTTCATTCAAATGGAAGAACTAACATACGTTCACAGAGAGGATCTCGGCCATCCCATCCCTGATCTCGGCATGTTCTTGTTGTTTCCTTACCCGCTAACATGTATCTGAAAGCAATGATTCTCATCTTACTAAATACTCAACTAACACAGCAAATCTAAATTCCACATGGTTTAAAACAGACTTAAAACAGCATATATAAAATGACATTAACTGTTTCACTTACCCTGTGTGACAAACTGGTTTAGCCGTGTCGCCAAATAAATTCCCAGTCATATCATATCTCCCATTAAGGAAATCTGCAAGACTTCCACAGGATTTTCCTGTAATGTATTCAAGATATTGATTCATTTAGAATTGGTGCTCTTCAAATACTGTCGAAAATAATGAAAAATCATCTTTAGTGTTGCTTCATTACATGATACAGGGATTTATTCTTGCCGTCAGTGGCAAAACCACTATGAGTGATTTAAAGACTTCTTGAACTATACCATACATCCTTTCACATATCTAAATTAGACCTTTTAAAATACAATGTTCAAAGGCATTTTAAAGGAATTTACAAATGTACATTACTTAATATTTAATGACAGTACATACTTGTGCAACTGAGTTCCAGACTTGTCCACTGGTTTTGCTCACAGGTAACCGATCTAGATGCTTTTAAGTTAACTGGCTTGTGTCCAATCACGCACTCAAATGTTACAGTGGATCCATCTGAGAAACTTTGAGTCGAGAGATGGTTTGCTGTTAAAACGACATTTCTTGATGCAAAAGAAGGCGGTGTACATTCCGCTGTGGAAATAAACAAAACGTATGCGTTACAGTAATCTGACGCAGTACTATATTGATCATCATAATTATTATTATTAGAACAACTTCTGCTCCATTCTATACTTATATTTGGTAAAAAGAAAAAACATTACTAGGAGGGGATTACCTTTTTAAACAACAGTAAATTAGTATGACGTAGTAAAACGTGCAGTTGAAATTAAATTACAATGCTTGAATGGGATCAGCTAATTAAAGTTTATTAACAGTTTTTACTTTTTTTTTTATGTTGCTCATTCTTTATCAACCCCCACCCCACCCCTTTAAATATATAAATATAAATTGTTTTCAAAACTTGTAAAATTTAGTTTTAGTATTTGAAAGAGCATTTACTCGAGTAAAACGTGCAGTTGAAATTAAATTACAATGCTTGAATGGGATCAGCTAATTAAAGTTTATTAACAGTTTTTACTTTTTTTTCCATGTTGCTCATACTTTATCAAATGACTGGCAAATTGTCGCGAAGTATGCAGAATCACATGCAAATACTGACGCGCTCGAGAGGCAGTATAAACAAAGGCCTCCTGTAGCGAATCGATGCGTTTTTGTAAGAAAAATATCCATATTCAAAACGTAATACTCACTTTAATGTAGCTTGCGCTCACTGTTGTAAACAGAAGCAGTTCCGGGCGGATGACGTATGAGGTTAGCGCTGCGCATGCGCCGCTCAGAAGTGACGCACGCGGAAGTGCAGCGGAGAGATCAAAACAAAACAACGGTCACTAATTAGACGTACAAAACGAGGATTTGTAAAGAAGAATGTCAGAGGATTTCAATATAAGCCAAGAGGAGACTGGTTTTCCTTTGCTAAAGTAATGAAACTTTGCTTCCTTTGATCCTGTAAGCAAACGTTGGTTTTCACGAGACTCACCAGACTGAATTAAGTCTGCCACTCTATCAAACGTTACATAACCAATTAAAACTTCGGCTTTACATTGTTAACTTTAATGCAGATTTTATTAGCTGTCAATCACTCAGTCACTGCTTTCCACTGTCAGGTGACAGGGAGCTAACTACCGCTGGGAATGTAAAGTATGGAACGATATTCCGGACAATTTTCAAATAGAATAGCAAATTGTATTTTCGAACAGCCGGAGCCACAACGGTACGCACAACAGGTCAATATTCACTACAAACCAAACGCTTTTCACCTGTCTCTGCATCTCTCACTGTTTACTCTCACTCACACTTTTAAACATTCACTGTAAAAAGCCTGTGGGACGGTGTTTGCAGGTAACAGTGTTCGTCACTGAATCTACACATTTCGTAATTGTTGTTTTACGATGTGCAGTTTGACATTATCAAGTATATAGCAAAATCCAAACAAAACATGCACGCATACATGACGTGATGAAGTCTAGTAGGTTAGACTAGTGCGCGTGCGCATTTAGAGTGCGTTCTTTCCCTGCATAATTCATTCTATTAAAATGCATCACAAAATTCAAGATATGGGGCCTTTATATCATTTCATATAGTTAATCAATACCACAAGAAGAGTGCCGCATGCACGTCCACATGCAAACGCAGCATCAGTTCACTGAAACAAAACATTTTTGAAAATGACTGCCAGGGTGAAGATTTTCAAAAACTCCGGTTGCAGTGTTATCGTGTAGACAGCGAAACTGGAGTTTTTTGGCTTGTGACGTCAGCGCCTGAGCTGTTATCTCCACCTACTGGAGACTTTTTCAGGCTTCTGATTGGCCAACATGGCTTTATGGTTGAGATTATATCGTCACCTGTTGGTTTGGCATGCTCTTGACAGTGCTTCATAGCATGCATTTGCATTTTCATGTGGACAGAAATTTTTTTTAAAGAAGAAGGAAAAACTGTTTATAAAAATACCAGTGTACTGCTGTGTCCCAATTCATAGGCTACGTCCTTCGAAGTGCACATTTGAAGGCCGATTGCGTCACCGCGGCACGACGAAGGCTGCCGCAATTCGAACGCGACCTCAAATGCGTCTTACGTTTCTCCAGGCAAATGAAGGATACATGAGATGAATCCTTTGCAGCCTACCCTATCCCAGAATTCATAGCGTGCCGGTGACGACGGGACTTTTATTCAAACAAAATAGCAAGTGATAAAACACAATACTTACAAGAAATGTAAGTATTGTGTTTTAATTTGCTCAAATAGCTAGCAAAACAAATGTTAAAAGTCAGGGGTCTTAAAAATGTGAACAGATTAATTTGTTAGGTGGTCTGAGGCTAAATAACTTGTATTTATTAAATTAGAGGGCTGAATTTGATAATTCCTGTACTTGGGACAAAAACTCTGCCATTGTGGCTCGGAGGTAAGGCATTACCCATCTGTAATATTTTCACTAGGACCTCTTGTGTTCACAACAATTACCCCTCACCCATATATAAAGCCCACAACAATAAGACAAGTGGGCCTATAAGGCTACTTAATAAGTAGACAAGTCTTTAACTTGTATTTTTATTTTATTTTTATTATTTTTTTATTTTGTAGCAAGATATGTCCACAAATTTTTTAGGCAAACTTGATGATCCAGAAATGTGATTTTTGAAGTATTTTGTATGCACGTCCTGCGGTCATATTTTCTAACCTTAAGATTGCAGCCCTGTCTTAATAATTTACTTTCCTTTTTCTCTTCTTTTAGGACAGTTTTGGAGAAAATGGTGCTTCTGGGAAACTTAAAAATGAAATGAATTAAGTTGTTTATTACTTTTGTAATTTAAGTTATTTGTAAATGAAGCAAAGTAATTTATGTGTATTGTTTTAGTTGCAACTTGTAAATAAAAGATGAGAAGTAGTTCTGAAAATTGTTAATTTTTGCAAAGCAAGTTATAATTTGTAAATGACAGAAATTATTCTATAATTTTTTTTTGCCTCTGAATAACATTTGCAAATGAAAATAAATTGTTCTATACTAAAAGTAATTTTTACAACAAATTACAAAACTTCAATTCAACATCAGAAAAACAACATCAAAATTTAACAATGCATAAAAATGCATTTTTTTTCTTTTTCCAATGTTTTTTATGTACGCTTTCATTCAGCTGAGCAGTGAGACCCTGGTGGAGCTGCTGGACCAGGACGGGCTGCAATAGAAAGCCTGGTGTGGCATCATCTGGGATAGTCTCCCGAGTGTTTGAGTGCATATTTCCACTGTCCAGCCGTGAGGTTTGGAGATGAAACGAATAAAGTTTATTGCTAAGTTGCTACAACTGCGAACCATATCAAGGCTGCTTCCGAGGCACTCGGACAGGTCTAGCCTACAGAGGACTCTTCTTGTTGCCTAGCAACTTTGTCAGCTGCAGTAGACGAGCGGCAGTAACGTTTGTAAGTTAACTTTTTTATATTCAGCTGCATAAAACTAAACAGGGTTGAAAACCTGTTTAAATATGTTCACCATGGTCCATTTATGTACATAATAATAGAATAAACAACAAAATCACATTTTGTTAAGATACAAGTCGACATTTAATCGCTGTATTTTTTGATATTTTTTCACGTCATTACAATATTAAAGTAAGTCTTACATTTAAAGTGTAATTCGGTCATTAAAAGTCAAGAGCTAACAATTCAGGCTCCAGTTATTTTCGTTTTCATTAATAACATATATGGCAGCTCTCTTCTCGCACCGTTGCCACGCGACAGGCGCATTTAAAGGTGTAATAGGTGATTGTCTTCAGAAACATTTTTTGTTATGCTGGTTGAAAGTCTCTTCACATTCCGATAGCAATCATAAGTTAAGTGGTCTAAATGTATTCATCTGTATTTATATATTTTGTGGAAGGCGTAGGACCAAGAAATGTTCGTCCGAGCTTTCCTACCTGCCTGTCAACTTATGTATCTGCATACCTCTGCGCACCCTGTTCGCGCAGACAGGACACGTCATCAGCGCGTTCACGCACGCTGTGCAGACAGAGCGAGGATGGCAGGCAAACATCAACAAGCCGATCTTCCTTCCTGATATTGTAGTATTTTTAAAGTTTTCTCACCAGTGAATGACGCATGATGTAGCCCAGCGATTAATCCAGTCCTCGCGCTCTGCATATTTTGAATGTCTCGCTTAGTTAACACACCCATTCAAATAACCAGCTAGTTAGAAGTGAGCTACGTGCATGAACTGTGTTCCGATCGATATGATCCCTACACAGTGTTCATTGCTCCCTCCTCACTGAGCGGGGGAAATACGTTGAAGTTTACTTCACTTCGGAACATGGGCTGGAATTGGGAACCGCTGATGTAGCCTATTGTAGTAATGTTGTCTCTGGTACTCTGGTCTGTGAGTGAGCGTATATGCATTCAGGGGGCGTGGCTTTGGACGGCGATTGCAGGGAGGGTGGGACATTCGCTTTCAGTGCAATCAGGCTAAAGTTAGCATTTTCCAAGATCTCCTATTGCGCCTTTAATCGGGAACACCTGCTGGCGCACTCAGGAAATTCTGCGAAGGCTAGACTCGGAGCGTCCTTCGAAGGCCGTGTCGGCCCATGGCCTTATAATGCCTCTCGAGTGTGTCAGTATTTGCATTCGATTTACATACTTCGCAACAATTGGCCAGTCATTTGAGTTGACTGGAAATTTGACTTCAGGAAAGGTTGGAAGGGAAGGTGTTCCCATAACGGAGAAATGTCTCTGTGATGTCTGGTTCCCGCTCTCACGGAACTTAAGTTACGATAATAACCGGAGACGTTATGTGTCATGAATATTTTTGTATGGTATTGCCAGAAGACAGAGACTGTAAATGTTAAATCCGTATATCTGATTAAGGTTAATTTTCTACACTAGCATTCAGATTATCTTAAAGCTAACACACACACACACCAAAAGCCACAACGCTTTAAGTGTCGTAGTAATCGTAGTTAAAATTCATTAAAGATAGATAGATAGATACTCACCTCGGACATGTTCACAGATCATAAGATAAGCAAGGAGAGCAACACTGGGACACAGCACCTTACAGCCCATCTTGTTCATGTCGGTGAATGTCAGCTCCAAACAAGGCCAATGTTATTTGTTTGTTTTTTCGCAACTAATAAATATAAAGATAGCTTAGCGTAAGGAAATGCGCTTTTAAAAAAAGTGTACTTTAATAATTAAAAGTCAACATTCAGTACAACAACAACAAAACAAACGAGAGGTTCACATGAGAAAAACCTGATAGCAGATAGCATAACAATCAAGACGGGGTTTAAATTAACATGCCACATTATTAGACAACTTACACATGATCTGAACGAATGCTAAATAATAGGCTTAGTTAATCAACCAAGCTTCATTTAATTTTCTTATAAGGCTATTCGTTACGCCAAAATAATGTTAAAGTACGCAGCGCGTATGAAGGGCGTAATGGCCATTGGTCACTGGCTTCATCTGTTAATTTAACAGTCGATAACAGAAACCCTAATCTAACTCGACACACGTAAAATACCATTGTGAAATAATTTTACATAAAATAATGTAGTCATATCTTTTATTTTTTTTGTGGATAATTTATTTTAAAAATGTCGAGGACTTTGTGGTAGATAGGCTAATCTATACACAGAGAAGCGAAAATGAAATCCTTGTTTTAAGCAACCTTACCCTCGGGTGTTTTTAAAAGATTTCTCGGTGTTCACTGTTCAGTGCTGAATTCAGACTGAGGCACATAACGGTAGAGAGAGAGAGCAAGCGCAAATCCTGGCAGCGGCAGGTCGCAGCGCCACTTCCGGTGGCATCCCCAGCTGCCACTAGTCGTTTCTGGCATCTGCCAGAGTTCGTGACAGGTGCAACGGTCTTTCTCGCCATTTCTGCTGTTTGCTCGGTAAAACTACACTGTTCTCAGTGGCGTGCAGTGATGTTTTTTTTTAATGATGATGCAAAGTTCCCACAATTGTATTATTATTATTATTATTATTATACAGTACATTTTTATGTATCAGTTGCCAGTTCTTGCCAGGAGTCAAAGGCAGCTGCCACGGTCTTTCTCGCCGTTTCTGCTGTTTGTTCGGTAAAACTACACTGTGCATACTATATACAGGAGCGTAGCCATCATTTCAGAAGTGAGGGGGACAGAAATGTTTTATACACACACACACACACACACACATATATATATAT